CGCGAGATGGGGTCAGCTTTCTGGCAGGCCACGAGGATTTATCCGCAAACATCACACGTTGGTCCTAGACTTCCGTCGAGCACGATTTCGGGAATGGAAACCGCAGGAAATTAACGGTGACACGTGGCTGGGTATGGACACGTGTTTAGCCGCCCGCTAACGATGAAAAATGAGCCATCGAGTCGCGTTTAGAATTGATCGACGCGGCACACCGTGGGACTAACACGAACGAGATCTTTCGCGCGTGGAATTCCATGGTTTCCTCGAAGAAACGGTGTTCCATCGTTTCCCGGGGAACTCCGCCTCGCGATCGGATAATTGTACTTTAGAATCGTCGGTGTTGCTCGTCGTTAAAAATGCGTTACACGGCGAATGGAAATCGGGATGAAAAACCGGTCGAAGATTCGCCGGGGACGCTATCAATCGGAGGATCGATTCGCAGATTACGCGGCGGCAAAACAACCGGGAAAACATCGAGACGGGACAAAAACGGATCGGATCGCGGAGGCGACGAGCGGCCGCGCGTTTTCGGGGGATCGCAGGGGGGACACGGCGAGGGGAATCAGGAAAATCGGAAACAATTGTCGCTCGTGTAGGCACGAAGAGAGAGGCTTGTGCGCGCGCAATTTGCGCGTCAGGAAAATGCATGCTTCGATGGCAGCAGCTGCGGGACGTTATTGATACTACATTTCTCCCGATTTGACGAATTGCCGCGTTCGACTAATGGTCCGAATACGAAGGCCCGGCCCAGGCTAGGCCAGGCTCCTGACTCGCGGCTTCCTAGCCGAACTGTTGACCCCTCGTAAAACTATAACCCGCTCATAATTCTCCGGCATTTCGGTCTGGAGGAACCGGAGGAAAAAAAGAAGGAACGAGAACGTTGCCGAATCAATGGCGAGGCTGGTGCCGTTACTTTCTGCTTCGATTCCCCTTCGAAAATCGATGCTACATTTTTCCGTTCCCCGGGCGGACCTTGCGATAATAATAATACGGTAATAATTCATCTTTAGTGCGCGCACAATTACGAAAGTTATCAGGGAAACGATAAACCACCTACTTGCGAACTGTCCAGTGGATTTAAGGATATTAATTTGAAACCTGTCTTTATTGTATCGGTGGAACGTAGCTCACCAGGATCAATTTCGGTCGGTGCTACTTCGTGGACGGGCACACGTCGAAATTGAGCACTACCATCGTCAGAGGCGCGATCGCGAATGTAGAATCAACGTCACAGAAATACCGGGGTGTAAGTTAGGAAAAATAGGTCGATTAAGATTGTAGGTCTCCATCAAACTGTCTCTTAAAATATTCCGCGGCCGATCGAAACACAATCTTCGAAATGGAGGTGAGAGCACCGGACGGAACACACGTGTGCGCGTATCTATGTATCTTGTTCGAAAGAGAAAAGGGGACTGAGGTATGCTCAGCGTTAGCCAGCAATATCGTCGAACGTAACGAGAGGGCAAAAAACGTCAACAAAGACGTACGCCGGACGAGTGTACTCTAAGAATATATACAGCCTGGTCGACCTGGCCAGCTCGTCGAGGATCATCCTTAAAGAAAAAAAGGTAAACCGTTTACAAGATCGACGTCTTGAACGTTCGTTAAAATGCGACGAGGACGTATTAAATGTGAAACGTTAAAAATTGAAATATAGAAAATTTATACGGATCTGGAATCCACCGAATCGCTTGGGTAGCTAGAAATTATATTATGTACATAAATTAAAGACTTATGTTTATTAATCGATACCAAATGGATGTTTAAATTTGGAAGAAAAGACTGGAATGTTAAAGTGTGTTACGTATATTCTACGAGGAAGAAAATATTCAGTCAAATGTTAGTATACTCGGCGCGCTATTGTAACGCCATCTAGACGCTACACGGTGAACCAAGGTTCGCGTTTAAATTACCTGCAGTGAATCATTGATCGCTTTACCATTCACTTTTTTACAATATTTAGTGGAATTTTTAATTTATCTTTACTTATTAGTGTCCGTTTATCGTAAAAGTGTCACTAATGTCAGATTCATGTAAAAATATAGCGGACTCCGTGACATTTTGTTCGATTTGAATAACATTGCGACATATTATCAAGTAAAATATGGCATCCGTTTTACAGAATGAATTATTAACCATTTATTTCTGTCGAGAACAGAACGCCAAGAGTGAATGAAAATCATAGCTCGGACTATGCGACTTTTTTTAAAATATAATTACGACTCTGTCGCAATTAAGGCACTCGTATTTCTTATTTTCCCCCGAATTGATTCAGAAAAATGGCCCTCGAAGCCGTCGAGAAATGAAACTACATTATGCACAGGGAACCGTTTTGCTTGCAGCATTCTCGGAATGATAATGGCATCGTTTGAAGTGTTCGCGTAATTAATGAAGCTAAAAACTTTTGACCGTTAATTACGCTGTCCATTGTACTCGAAGAGTTCTTTCTTTCTACGGAGCACCGTAAGAATGCGAATAAAGAATACGGACCATATTGCAATCAAAGAATATCTCACGGAATAAATTATATACGCGGAACTTTTGTTCTCGATGTCTAGTAATTGCGCGCTCGCACAAAATTTATTTTATAATTCCTTTAACATACCACGTTTAACGCAACGTTTATAAATCCCTGCGGTTTACTTATTGCCTAATCACCAATTTAATGCTGAACGAAATCTTTTATTCTCAATTAAAAACAGTTCTATAATAACCAAAGCTTCTAAATAACCGTGAGAATATCGATTTTACGGATTAGTACCATCTGTAACATCCATTGTCCGCACGATGATTCAGAAAAATCCATTCAAAGATTGTTTGGACAGAGAAGTTTCCAGAACTACGCGATTCCAGGTCACTTCTCTGAATGGCACCTTTTATACACCGTTGTGATTACTGACCATCCCCTTGTTGTATGTATAGCATTCGTCATGTTTCGCTGCATTAATAAACATTCTGGAACAAACCCGAGACTCTTTTAATTATCCATTCAAGGGCCATCCCCAATGTTTGTCCTTAGGTGAGCCACTCCATCCTTTTTCGGTGGCCCTCGAAGGACCGCCCCTTGGCTTTCCCGTTAGTCATCGAACAACTGACTAGCCCAAGGTTTCCTTGCTGCCCGTTGAAGGACTACTCCGAGACCCTTGCGAAAAGGACGGTAGAATTTGACCAAGAGAGGTGAGGGATGGTCAAGGATGATTTAGGACGTCCCAGGGAGACCCTGGAAATCTTTGGGGACGCGGGGCCCTCCCGTGGGATCGGCGGTTCGAAAAATTTGTTCACTTTCGGATTTGCACCTACAATTTTAGATTCGCTCTCGAGATATAAAATACTTTCCTTCGTTGGATAGCGGGTATACTCGAGTACTAATTACTTATAGTAACTTGATCTTAAAAAAATTGTTCCTCGTTTAAATGGCTAACAAAGAACCAACAATCGATCGGTAAGAGACCGCTGGAGCCGAAATTCCCGTGCAGCTCGCTCGATAAGAGGAAGAATTTCACATCCTTCTATACGTAACTAGCGAAGAATTTTTATAACTAAATTTAAGGGATAATCAGGATCACGACCATTATCCTCTATTACCCGTTGCTGGGAGCAATCACGCTAATAGAACAGAAAGCACGAACTTCGAACCCTCAAGCTCACGAGAATCGCGTCGCAGTTTCCTCCCTGAAAATTATACCTTTACGCTCTAAACGGTTATGAACTGAGCTAACCATAAGCTCCGGGTACCTGCCTCGGATACTACCTAATCTTTTGTCGTCCCTGAAGCTCGGTATCCTTTGTCCAAGTTCACTGGGAAATACTTTGCCCACGAAAATCTCCGAAACTCGTGGCACGCGGCTAGTCAATGATTTTTCATAGAAGAACTTTTTAAAGGTAACCCAAACACCGAATCTATTACAATCGCGACATCGATAGAAAGTCGTTTATCCGCGTATCGCGGAAGAATTCCCCAAAAGAAACTTTTCCAAGGATAACAGACGGTCTCATTTGCCAAAGCGATCCACTTTAAGCAACGACAAACAGAATAATTTGATTAAATCGCATAGGTGAATAACCATTCGAAACAGTTCGGTACGTGAATTTGTAAATATTGCGAGAACTGAATTTACCACTTGAACCCGTGAGCCAGCGACGCAGCGGAATAATTATTCGCGATCGTTGCATTCGAACGGCAACCGTAACGATTGTTCCATTTGAAAATTACAGTTCCTTATTCCCGTGTACCGTAGACTGTAGGAAACGAGGATAAATAAATGAAGAATCGAACGCGATCGCGATTCAGCCCGATCAACGACACCGTATGATCCGCTCTATCCAACGCGTCCGGTCGTAGCTCACGAGAGTGGGTGGGCCTGACATTCGCGGTCCCAGGACCGAATCGACGGTGTCTGGGTACGAGGCTGTGTACGAATGAGGGGGCAGAGCGGGGGCTGCGGCGTAAGAGTCGGGGCCCTGAGGGCCCCTCACCTGGGCCCGGCACGGAGGAGCGAAGAGGGGCTTGAGGGGGCAAAGGCACATTCCAAGGCAGAACGGCTGCCAGTGAAGGTGGAAGGCACCAGACTCAGTCTCTCACGATATTGCGCTCCGCTCCTATCCTCCGGTTGCTTCCTTTCTTCGAGTCCCGGTCGCTCGTCCGTTCTCCCTCGACTCCGTGGGACCGTTCTCTGACGCGCGATGCGATACGCGACTCTCGGAATCGGATTAACCAGCGATCACCGTGATTCAAGGAGTGACGAAGAAAAGGGACACCGCTCTCTGTGAATGTGATACGCGAAACGTTTCTCGTCCGGCCCGACACAGTGCGACGATAAAAAGCCGTGTATGTGGTGGTGCTGGTGATTGTGTGAACGGTGTGCGCGTGCGGTCGTCTTTTTTGGCGCCACGCGTGTCCGCGCCGAGCGACGATTCGAAAATGCACACGCCTACCGACTTATCCCGGTATCCCAGTGGGAAGACCAAGGAACACGGAATCCGCGGCGAAAATAGACCATTGCCTCGTGTTCAGATCCGCGCTGAGATCGTCGGGCATGCGGAAGGAGCGTCACCGGGAGACAGTGATTGAGAGGACCCAGGAGAGCAGACGGGAGCACTTGAATATTCGATCGTGCAGGTGAGCCGCACGACTATCTTGTTCGCTTAACGCGGGTACCCGGGGATAGATGCCGATTCGAAAAACGTGCTCTCTCGCGCGCGAGAGGCCACGGTCCGGGTTCGAAGGGAACCGTGGGTAGGGCACTGGTATCGCGCATCGAGAAAAAAGGTGCCTGGCACCCGGACGGCGCGGTGTCGCGGTCGGTCGCCGATGATATTTCTCACGGTGGCTCGCGGAAACCGCGAGCCACCGTGAAATAACGACCGGGGAACGGCTTAATATCTGGGTTTCCCGGCGGATTCTAGGATGCTCGGAACGATCGGGACCGTGGAATTTCTAGTCGAGCTCGAACCTGTCGACGCACACGACCGTTCCATTAATCCGTGACGGTGGAACCGGTATCCGTGGTCGAGGGAAGCTCGGCCAAGATAACTTATCTGAATACTAGAAATTAACAGCTCCTAACTGTCCGATAGAGGCCTGCCGTCGATTCGCGTTCGACGTCGCGTTAATCTTCGACCCGGCGGAGCCCCGCGTCGCTTTCTATTCTTATCCCCGTTCGCGATCCCGGTGAAATCGATGCCCCGCCGATACTCGTCGGCCCGTCGTTTGGGCCCGACGTGTTACCTCGCCTGTTACATCAGTTTTACGGTCACGCGAGTAAACCATGGGAGACTCTCGATATTTTTTACCGGTCAGGCATTCGGCGAGAACTGTCTGGAACACGAAGCGAGGGAAGGACGGTCACGCCGGCGAGAAGGGGATCCAGGGGGACGGATCGGGACCGTCGGTCGGTTTCGTTCTGCGTGAACGAAATTAAATCCACGTGCCGCGAAGTATTCCCATTCTTCTTCCCCCACGATCGAGCCAACGCGAGAGGAGAAGAGAAGAGATCGTCGAACGACAGAAAAAGTGAACCGCGTCCGTGCAACGCCGTCGGCATCGAACTTGACCATGGCCTTCGGTGGCTTTGCACTCGTATAACGAGATACGAAGAATGCGAATGGCCGAGCAGAGTCACCGGCTCGTACACGCGGTGACTACTTTGGACTGGTTCGCGGTAACTAGATGCCTCGATATCGGCCCCGCTTAAAGGCGCCCGTCGATGTGATCGATTCCGCGGAACGAAACACGAACGACCCTTTAGCCTAAGTAGATTCCCACCTTCGGAACAGGCTTGAACAGACCCTTAAACAGACCGTCTAACGTGTTGATGGTTAAGAAAAAGTGATACTGTAACATTCCGTTTTGTCCGAGGATAGAGTTGCCGATGGAACGGGCTGGACCCGTTATATCTCGGGTTCGTTTTCAATCAAAAGTTTCGCGTTCGCTCGAAATCCGACGACCGCGATCCGAAAAAAAAAAAC